TGAAAAAGTAACGTATTTATAACTGTTGCAACTGTGGTCATGTGATCAAGATTCAGGTGCTGTGCAATGGGGGAAGAGTTTATAACTCTTACAGCATCCCAGTCATGTGATTGCTTTTTACACATTTCACAGCTGACTTACAACAAGCAGAATCAATGGAGAAACCAGTGATAAAATTACAAGTTGTGGTAACATGATGTCTTGCTTAATGATCGTAAGTTATTCACTTAATGTTTGCAGGTAAAAGTCATTAAGTCCATTGTGGTCACATAATGTTTTGCTTAACTACCATGTCACTTAGCAACAAAGTCCCGTTATGGTCGTTAAATGAAGACTACCTGTAATTGTGGTGATATATTTGAGACTTTAGTATGTTAGAGATGACCTTGCTGCTGTGACACTAGGGAAAGAGATTTTCCACTTGTGTAAGTAAGTAGCTTATCTAACTTATATCCGTGCTTTCATTCCATTACAATTTTGGTGCAAGCCATTAGGATAGTGGTTGGCTTTGGATCAAGTGAACTCTACAATTAATAGTAGCCCAGCCAAAATCCAGAAAATATTTAGAAGATAATCATGTGAGATATTTCAAACAGTCTGGCAGCGTAGAGAAAGAGGGAGAGGAGAAGAAGATTAAGGTAATTGGCTTACTACAGTTCACCCATTCAAGATAGATGCTCACTGCTATCATGCATTTAACTTATGTTTTTAGTCTAAATGATTTTTATCTTTTATTATTATAAGCTACCCAGAGTACCTTAATAGCATTTTATTACATATGCCCAAACCACACATTACAATATTGTCAGAGCTGTAAGATTGTTTACAAAAATAACCTAAGCAACGCTAAGAAATGATTAAGATAGATAACCTTTATTGTCACTTTTTTTTCTCTGAACACACTGGCATACATTAAAAAATGAAATTCTGTTGCCTGCTCTCAAAAGTAAAATAGAAACGTTAAAAATTGAAAACAGTTATCAAGGTAAGTTTTAAATAAAGCATAAATTCATATTGTTACAAATATTTTATGTATATTTGATTAAGTATGGATCTCTTTTTAGCATTCCAACTCCTGTACAGTACAAAAAAAACAAAAACATTTTGGCTAGCTGCCTATATAATAGTGTCTGAGCCACACCTATTTTTAAAAAAAATTCTTTGGCTTTTACATAAATAACTTTATTGCAAATTTATCTTCTCTTTCTCCCCTGTTTATATTGGTGCAAATAAAATTTATGAAGTGCTACAAAACAAGGTGCCCAAAACTATGCACACTGTGCCAGGAAATCTCAGCTGTGCCTGTTCCGAAAGCAAAACAAGTAGAGTTAGAGGCATCTTCTTTCCAAAATATTTTACTGTAGCAAAAACATTAAGGTCCAAATTTTCAACATGACTAAATATTACCAGAATTACAGAATTGGAAAGATCATCCAGTTCAGCCCTCTCCCAACGTAGGCTAATTATTATTAGGGCATCTTCTGCTATTGGACTATCCAGCCTCTGCTTAAAGAGTTAACAAAAGAAAATCCAGCCAATTTGTTTTTGATGATATAGATAGAAAATTATTTCAAATATTCTAATGTTCTATTGAGTCAATTATTCCATTTAATTACATTAGCTATGCCTCCTTTTGAAAAAAAATATTTTGAAGTGAACATAAATCGAGGTCAGGTACAGTAGTGATATATGTCTTTAGTTAGTAGCTTCAGTTCTCCCCAGGATGAATCCTCAAATTCTAAAGCCTATAAAATTAAAATTTAACCAAAGCAGTATCAGACTGGCAGCAATTTACGCGACCTGGAATATAACAATATTTTGAAATCATTTAGCAGATGGAACAATGTCCCCTGCTTAGAGTCTCATTTATGGGATATTGAATTAATCTTGTGCAAAGGTGACAAAAGCAAACAGCAATATAATAACAAGATTCATAACAAGCCAAATGAAGACAAGCTTGTTAATCTGAAAGCCAACAACCCAGAAATATCCTGAAGTTGTGAGCATATTCAAATATCATAAATAGTCTGAATCTAGGGAGTAGTTATGCTTCCTGCTAATTTCACGTTTCCTGCATTTTGTTAGAGAAAATATTGGCTTGCATCCAGAGTTCCCACAATCAGAACCCTTCTGACATAGCACTGTTATGGTAAGAAGTGGGAAAGTGATTTGATTCCTGACCCGTTTCAATGAAAACATACTTCATTGAGTTGTGAGAGCTTCCAAAACAGGATGGAAGGTATCACAGGGGCTACACAGCCAATCAGTGAAAATCATACTTTTATTCTGTTTTACCTTTTGATTGGGAGCTCCTCAGAGTTGGTTACAAGATGGGCAACTATACATTTTAAGTAAATAAAATATCCTCTGAATTGCACTTTTTTCATGAAACATAAAGTATAGAAAGGTACTTCTTCTTCTGTTATTTATAAAATGGCATTTTGGAATTGATAACTTTTAAAAGGAATAAGGCATTAAAGTCAGTTGAATTTCATCAAGGGTCTGAAGTGCCTGGAAGAAGATTGATTTTTGAACCCCTCCTCCAGTATCTGTTTATTATACTTTGAAATATAGTAAAAAAAAATAATTGGGAAGTTTCCTTTCCCGCAGTAGGTGAATCTACTTCAATCAGTTGAAAAGAACCTTGGTGTTTAACCCGTAAGAGCTCAAATGATGGATAGTTTTCCATGAAGATACTTTGAGGATAAATCCAAAATCATTTGTAAGCACAATGACATATTTCATTCCATATACAGAAGCTGATCCTTAATCCTGAATATTTTTAAGATATATTTTCATAAAGATAGAAAAGATTACCAAATTTTCAGGACTTTTGATATAATACTTGAAATATTGTAATACAATAGTATATCAAAAAACCACACGGAAAGTAATTCTTAAATCTTGAACAATAACTAAAAATATTAGCTGTATTCATCAGAAAATCTTATTTATGTTTACTGAATTCCCCAAAATTTGGTTTCTAATAATAATAATAATAATAATACATTAAAAAAATAGCTAGGAAAGCAGATAATAACAAGACCTGGCAATGGCTAAGAGCAGGAAAATTGAAGAAAGAGACCGAGGGATTAATTCTGGCTGCACAAGACCAAGCCTTAAGGACAAATGCATATAAAGTCAAAATTGAGAAGACAGCAACAGACAGTAAGTGCCGCCTATGCAAAGAAGCTGAAGAAACAGGGGACCACCTGGTAAGCTGTTGCAAGAAGATTGCACAGACTGACTACAAGCAGCGGCATGACAAAGTAGCAACAATGGTGCATTGGAAGATCTGCAAAAATATCATTTGCCTGTAAGCAAAAACTGGTGGGATCATAAAATAGAGAAAGTCATAGAAAATGATAAATTAAACTGCTCTGGGACTTCAGAATTCAAACAGACAAGCACCTGCAACATAACACCCCAGACTTAACAATTGTCGATAAGAAAGACAAAAAAGTCTGGATAGTGGACGTGGCAGTGCCTGGAGACAGCAGAATAGACGAGAAAGAACTGGAGAAGATAACAAAATACAAAGACCTACAAATAGAATAGAAAGACTGTGGCAAAAGCAAGCAAGGGTAGTACCAATAGTAATAGGCGCCTTGGGTGCAATCCCAAAACAACTGGAGCACCACTTTAACACCATTGGCATTGACAAATTTGCCATTAGTCAATTGCAAAAGGCGGCCTTATTAGGAACTGCTTCCATCTTGCGACGATATCTCTAATACCATCAAACATCCACATCTGTCTATCCCAGGTCCTGGGTAAGGACTCGATAGGTAGACAAAATGCCAAATCCAGTCTGAACATCTGGCTGACTGTGCGATGATCCATAATAATGATAATGATGATGATGTTGGAAGGGACCTTGGAGGTCATCTAGTCCAACCCCCCTGCTCAGGCAGGAAACCCTATACCATTTCGGACAAATGGCTGTCCAGTATATTCTTAAAAACTTCCAGTGTTGGAGCATTCACCACTTCTGGAGGCAGGTTGTTCTATTGGTTAATTGTTCTGTCAGGAATTTTTTCCTTAGTTCTAGGTTGCTTCTCTCTTTGGTTAGTTTCCATCCATTGCTTCTTGTCCTGCCTTCAGGCACTTCGGAAAATAGTTTGACTCCCTCTTCTTTGTGGCAGCCCCTGAGATATTGGAACACTTCTATCATGTCCCCCCCTCGTCCTTCTCTTCATTAAACTAGAAATAACCCAAGTCCAGCAGCCATTCCTTATATGCTTTAGCCTCCAGTCCCCTAATCATCTTTGTTGCTCTTCTCTGTACTCTTTCTAGAGTCTCAACATCTTTTTTACATTGCGGTGACCAAAACTAGATGCAGTATTCCAATTGTGGCCTTACCAAGGCATTGTAAAGTGGTATTAACACTTCATGTGATCTTGAGTCTATCCCTCTGTTAATGCAGCCTAGCACTGTGTTGGCCTTTTTGGCAGCTGCAGCACACTGCAGGCTCATATTTAGGTGATTGTCCACTAGGACTCCGAGGTCCCTCTCACAGTTACTACTATTGAGCAAGGTACCCCCTATACTATACCTGTACATTTGGGTTTTCTTGCCTAAATGTAGAACCTTGCTTTTTTCACCACTGAATTTCATTTTGTTAGATAGCGCCCAGTGTTCAAGTCTGTCTAGATCCTTCTGTATCCTTCTGTTATTATATGTTAATACAACTTTGGGGGAAAACATTGTTAAAGATGTAAGTATGAAGTGGAATCATATTTTTATGCCAAAGATGGATTTAATAGATTTGTTGTTGATTTTTGAAATGTCCCTGTGTTGCAGAAATGAGACAGACATGTTTCTATGTAATTTCAATTTAAAAATATGTTCAAAGAATTGAGTTAGCTGTATATTAATACTTTGAGTTTTTAAAATGTTATCACTATTGTACTATTATCACTATTGTAGTCAAAATGGGAAAATTATTAAATTGGTGAGTTTTATAGATAAGAGTTTCATTTTCTACAACACATGTTTTGAAAATGTAGTAGAAATTTATTAGCGCTTAATGAAAACCATAAAGTTAGATGAACTCATACATAATTTTAATCAATAGCAAAATAATTTTTTCCTTTTAATTAAAATTTACAGTAAATTTACAAACATTGCCACTCATTTAAAATTGAGGTATTTCCATTCTTAAAAAAATACAATACATTTTACAGTAAAGTGCATATATAAAATAATTTTTGCCCTAAATGTAAACTAGGTAACAAGCAGTCAATACTTGTGTTACATCTTTATTTTGAAGAATTTTTTTAAAAAAATAGCATTTAAGGCACGTTGCAAATAATTATGTTACAAATATAGCAACTGAGAATATATTACATAAATCTCAGTTCAGCAACCTTTATTAGGGCCAAGTCAGTATCTTCTTTGCTTTAGGCTATGGGTGGCATCCAATATGCTCCTATACCTTTGCTTGTGAGGCATTATATCCATATATGAGGGAGATGTGACCTGTAAGGATAAAAAGCAAACAATAAAAAATATACATTAAAACACACAGAGAATTGTAATGGTAAGAATAGGTTACTTCCTACTATAACCCATTTGTAAATATGAATTTATACCCAAGTTAATATGGATTACATATTTGCTAGTAATAGAAATAGAAATAGTAAAATACAGCAAAAACCTACAAAGGACAGTCCTAGGAAAAGTAATGATTAACAGGTGATGGAAGATGATGCATAGTATAATTTTCTACAAGCTTAATTTAACTCAAATTGAATTTAGTCCAATTAAATAAACATAGATTACAACCCAAATTAATAAAGCTAACTATTTATTAATATTTGAATAAAAATAAATAAAATATAGAAAATCTGCAGTTCAGCTGAAAGTTCAATATACAGTGGGGCAAAAAAGTATTTAGTCAGCCACCAATTTTGCAAGTTCTCCCACTTAAAAAGATGAGAGAGGCCTGTAATTGTCATCATAGGTAGACCTCAACTATGAGAGACAAAATGAGAAAACAAATCCAGACAATCACATTGACTGATTTGGAAAGAATTTATTTGCAAATTATGGTGGAAAATAAGTATTTGGTCAATATCAAAAGTTCATCTCAATACTTTATTATATATCCTTTGATGGCAATCAGTCAAACGTTTTCTGTAAGTCTTCACAAGGTTGTCACACACTGTTGCTGGTATGTTGGCCCATTCCTCCATGCAGATCTCCTTTAGAGCAGTGATGTTTTGGGGCTGTTGCTGGGCAACACGGACTTTCAACTCCCTCCAAAGATTTTCTATGGGGCTGAGATCTGGAGACTGGCTAGTTCACTCCAGGACCTTGAAATGCTTCTTACGAAGCCACTCCTTCGTTGCCCGGGCGGTGTGTTTGGGATCATTGTCATGCTGAAAGACCCAGCCACGTTTCATCTTCAATGCCCTTGCTGATGGAAGGAGGTTTGCACTCAAAATCTCACGATACATGGCCCCATTCATTCTTTCCTGTACACGGATCAGTTGTCCTGGTCCCTTTGCAGAGAAACAGCCCCAAAGCATGATGTTGCCACCCCCATGCTTCACAGTAGGTATGGTGTTCTTTGGATGCAACTCAGCATTCTCTCTCCTCCAAACACAACGAGTTGTGTTTCTACCAAACAGTTCTACTTTGGTTTCATCTGACCATATGACATTCTCCCAATCCTCTTCTGGGTCACCCAAATGCTCTCTAGCAAACTTCAGACAGGCCCGGACATGTACTGGCTTAAGCAGGGGGACACGTCTGGCTCTGCAGGATCTGAGTCCCTGGTGACGTAGTGTGTTACTGATGGTTGCCTTTGTTACGTTGGTCCCAGCTCTCTGCAGGTCATTCACTAGGTCCCCCCGTGTGGTTCTGGGATTTTTGCTCACCGTTCTTGTGATCATGTTGACCCCACGGGGTGAGATCTTGCGTGGAGCCCCAGATTGAGGGAGATTATCAGTGGTCTTGTATGTCTTCCATTTTCTAATTATTGCTCCCACAGTTGATTTCTTCACACCGAGCTGCTTGCCTATTGCAGATTCAGTCTTCCCAGCCTGGTGCAGGTCTACAATTTTGTTTCTGGTGTCCTTCGACAGCTCTTTGGTCTTCACCATAGTGGAGTTTGGAGTGTGACTGTTTGAGGTTGTGGACAGGTGTCTTTTATACTGATAACAAGTTCAAACAGGTGCCATTAATACAGGTAATGAGTGGAGGACAGAGGAGCCTCTTAAAAAAGAAGTTACAGGTCTGTGAGAGCCAGAAATCTTGCTTGTTTGTAGGTGACCAAATATTTATATTCCACCATAATTTGCAAATAAATTCTTTCCATATCAGACAATGTGATTGTCTGGATTTGTTTTCTCATTTTGTCTCTCATAGTTGAGGTCTACCTATGATGACAATTACAGGCCTCTCTCATCTTTTTAAGTGGGAGAACTTGCACAATTGGTGGCTGACTAAATACTTTTTTGCCCCACTATACATTTATTTCAAATGTTGAATATCTACCTGATATAAAGACTGAAATTTGTTTTATTATAACAATATCAATACAGTTTTATTCTTTCCTTATTCTCTATTCCCAGCTGGTAATTTTGCTTGGAACTTGTAGCACGGATAGAATTTTTTTTCTAGATAAATAAATAAAACCTACGGGCCAAGCTTTCTAATTTTTATATTTCCATTCTTTAGTTTAGGGGGAAACGTACCTGCTTGTAACGATGTTTAAAGGGAATTGTAAAATAGATTGTAAAATTTTTGTTCAATTTTCTCCCCCAGTTCTCCCCGTTAGCTGTCACCAACATTTTTACTATTTAATATTGTATTGTACCCAGTTCTACGAAAATATAGATTTTGGCAAAGTATATGTTCCTCCTTAGAGTACGGTATTTTTGCTGAAATGGTCATATTGCACAAATAAACCTACAAGGCTCAAGTGCTTTCTCTTTCATTGCAAATAACTCAAGGGATCCAGACTGCCTGCTCCCAAATTTGATGATCTATTCCCAAGCAGGAAATTGACTGAAAATCTACCAGTGCCCATACAGGAGCAGGTAATATTGGTGAGTTGGCTGTTCTTATTTTTTGACTTGTTTTTTGCCTCCCTCATATAATGGAAGTTAATTATGAAAATGTAGGGGTTTTTTTCTTATTAGGAAGCAATTTCATTCTCCCCCCTCTTCCTTCCTTCCATGCAGACCTTATCTCAGTTGGTAAGTTAAATTGCTGATGTTCCCATTAAAGTTCTGTTTGTATTACTCTTTTCTAACTTTAGTAATAAATTATGTACTTTGTACTGGGTCTCTGGCTCATAATAGTAATTACCCTTCTCTCTCCCAGACAGTGTGTACAGACAGCCTAATTTCATGCGGACTGTTTTTTTCTCCTTGACAGCCTAATTCCTCTCCATATAAAGTGACTCTAGAAGTAGTCACATAGCACATGGAACACACATACATATACACATACTTCATGATTACAGTTGGTTTCTTTTCTACTGTTCCTTCTAACTGGAATCTGAATATTGAAAACTTAAGGAGTTAAGAGTCGGTGAGCGAAATGGACAACAAGAAGAAATACAGAGCACATATTTGGTTCGTATGGGGAAAGGGAAGGGGAAAATATGATTTGAGGATCTCACATAGCAGCAGTCATCAATTCCTTTACAACACCACATTTGCTGTTCTAAATGTGACCAGGCAATAAATTGTGGTGCATCAGAACTAAATTCCAAATCCGCTGTTCTAATTCTAGCAGGGGCAAGCTATATGTATCTGGTAACTCACAAGTAAATGTTTAAGTTTTAATTTAGTTAGCTTATATTATGTTAGTTAACATTACATTAAACAAATATGCTTACCAATGGGGAAATAGTCTGCAAAACACTTGTAGAAGATGGGTTTTTGTTAATTGTTTCATGAACATCTAAGAGAGTATAAAATAATTATAAAACTTCAATTGTATGGTAAGAAATAAATTGTGGCCTGTATAGTCTTTCCCTTGAATATTAAGTGATCTAGTGTATTACTTTTAAATTGGTGCATGCATGAAAATATTTTATTTTAGAATCAAACTTCATTTTAATTTTGGAATTACTATTTTTTAATTAAGGAGAATGATTGTTTATCAACAACTATTTTATTACTGATTATATCTCTTTTGAGTCAAACTTCCCCATGTAGCCTTCTTGACAGCCACCTGAAAATGGACTGAAATTACCCATTTCTGGGCTTCCCATTCTAGCTGCACTTCTGGAAGTCTCCCATCCCAGTAATGCTCAGTCCAGGGCCTGCTGAACTTCTGAGCCAAGACAAGGTTGTCAAGTACTGCCACCTTCTGATGCAATGCAGATCGAGCAACCAACATGGTTGTTCATTTTTATTTTTTAACTTTTAGGTGATACTGATTTATAATCAGCTTTCACTAATTTATCATCTGTCACGTGACTTAGAACTGAAGCATAATAATAATAATAATTTGAATGTTCAGTTGACTGAGGTTCATGTTTAATGAATAAAAGATTAATAATAATAATAATAATAATAATAATAATAATAATAATAATAATAATACTCCTCTTCTTTATATTGCTGAATGTTCTATGGCCATTGTTTATCTGTGAAGCACAAAGGGCTTTCAGCTGATCTCCAAAGTGTATTATACTGATTAGTGGTAGATTTCTAAATAAGGAGAAAAGTATGTTTTGCCTTAAAATGCTAATATGTCATCATAATAATACCTGAGCAAACAGTACTATAGATTTTAATTTTCCAGGGAAGAAAAATAGAACATCTTAGTAGCTGTTCAATTCCACTGGCTTAGAGACTGCTCCTTTGATCTGACAGTATAAAATAAAACATAAAGTAATATATTATGACTAATTTTAATTACTCAAGTGAAACATCCTACCAGCATTTCACATCAGAGTGACTTTTGGACCTGAAGTTCCTGCCTGGCAATCAACGTAAGGCGAAAAAGAAAAGAGAATCATACTTGTTTACATTTATGTGACTTATTAAATCACTTTGGTGCAATTCAGTGGATAATTTTCAGAATACTTACTTTGTAGCCGATGATTGATGCGGTCAAGGGACTGAAGAACTTTGTGCTCTTCAAATGACAGAGAACTCATTCCTTGCCGTGGGGGTCTATTTCGCACTGCAATCTGCCTATATGGTTGTGGTGTATCCAACCCAGCCAAAATTTCACCTTCTGCAGCTGACAAATTCACAAGGTTTTCTGGTATTATGAACTGGGTAGTACCATCTGAATTTTAGAACAAAAATATATACTGTGAAAAGCTTTTAAGAAAGATGGGCTAGAAATATCTGGATTGGCTATTGCATTTAGTATTTTTTATGTATCTTTCAAAGGTTTGAAAATATTGTTTGATAGGTTTTTAAACAACTTTCAGAAAAAACAAATTGCTTATGTATAGCTAGGATAAGTGCAATTGTGGGGCTACTAGTATCATATTGGAGGGCTGCTGAAACAAAATGCATGAAATATAAGAAGACAATGAATAGGTTTTCTCCTCCTCAAAGCATATCATATTGACTGTTTAAATCATCTCAGTTCAGGGCTGGTTCTGTTTCTGTGACAGTAGGACATATATATCTGAATTAGTGTACATCAAATATATACCTTCATCTTTTCAGAGTTCCAGTGTAATATTTACTTTAATGCATCAATACAAGACATTCTCAGTACACAATTGGGAAAAACAAGAATGAACTTGACCAAATATGAGTTAAGGCTGCTATTAAGATCCAACTCGTGGCAGTAAGAGCAGCAAAGGGTCAACACTTGTCCGCTCTTATTGCATCCATAGAATTGCTCAGCAGCCCTGTTTAGGATCACCCAGACTATCCTTGGAAAGGGTGGCCTGGAGATTCACTTGCAAGGCTGTGCGGAGGAATTCTCTGGGCATCTGGAAGATAAAATTGTTCAGATTCATTTCTAGTTGACTGGCAAGTGTGGTACAAGTCCTGTTGAAATGCCCAGGGGTTAGATTTACTCAGTTACCTGGGAATGGCTTCATTCAGTTGGACCTGAGGAAGTGGATAAGGTCCTATGGAATGCAAACACTACCACCTGTGCATAAGATCTATGCCTCTCCTCGCAGGTTAAGGCCAACCAGGAAGTGCCCGGATGGAACCAAGCAATAATGAATTCATCCTTGGAGGTGTTTCCGGCTCTTTTTAACGAGGTGCTAGTGTGCCCCTACTTAAGAAGCCATCACTGGATCCCATTGTTCTGAACAAATTTTATCCAGTCTCCCACCTTCCCTTTTTAGGTGGTTGAAAAGGTGGTAGCCGTACAACTGCAGAAGATCCTGGAGGAAATGGATTATCTGGACCCTTTTCAGTCATGTTTCATGTCAGGATATTGGACAGAAACAGTATTGGTCGCACTTATGGACAATTTACGGTAGGAGTGTGATGGAGGTTGTTCATCCATCCTTGCTCTTCGGCAATTTTTGATACATTGACCATATCAATTTGGGCTGACTTTGGGAGTTGGGCGGAGGTGACACAGTGTTACGATGATTCACCTCCTTCCTCTGAAGCCAGTCCCAATCAGTGTTAATAAAGAACGAGAATAACACCTATAGGAATGAATGATGATCTAATTATTCAGATCCCAAATCAGATTGAAATATACTGCATTACCTTCATCAGAATGATTGATGCCACCTGTGACTCGGACTGGCTCGAACATACATTGAGAATGCACTTGAATTGGGGCTTGTGATATATTCTATGTAAAAAAGTTATCAAGCTGTTTTTAAAAATGCAATCAAAGTGAATTAAAAATCTATGTATCTAAAACATATGTAAAATTTTACACATAAAAATGTAAAATTTACATAAAACAGTTCACAGTCAAGAAGTAATACATATCTCTCTATTGTGATTACATGTACGATATGTAACATTTGTTGCAAACAAATAATGTTGGTAAAAAAGGCAGTGTACTTTTAGTGTTACTATTGATAAAGATAATTGCAATGTTTCTTAATGCTTGTACAAATGGAATACACATAAATGTCAGAATGTTGAGATTTTAAACAACTTGCAATTATTGTTAGATCCAGTTTGCTTTACCTACATTTTATTTGAAGTCTTTTCCAAATATTTTGTATTTACTCATGGAACTTTTTTTATATGGTGTTTTGACCAAAAGCTATTTTTAATATTTTGACACAAGAATTTATTAGACCTACCTGCCCAGCACCAGTGGGTTTCCTTGCTGAAGAGGCTGGCATTTGTCTCCTCTGTTCTAAAAGAGCCTTGCGTTTATTTTCATTATTGTCATTAATTTGTTTTCGTCTTGCAAAAGCAAAATGGGCTAAAAGTAATGAAAAAGTGTCAAAAAAATAGAACAGATTAGCTTAAATGGTAATGCTTGATTTCCTAAATTATATATACACTTTTTTTGAATGTCAAGTTTGCAATGAGGGTATAAAGAAAAACAAAAATTAGGATAACAATGAAAGAAAAAGAATTAAAAACCAGTGCTCATTTTCTCCAGAGATGCACTTTCCTTCTAAAAAATGAAATATAATTCAATCACTGAGCTTTGATTAACATCATTTCTCCACAGTGTATAGCAGAGCCTTTCTTAGTCTTACTAGAACAGATGTTTTTAGTACAAGAAATCGAAAACAGAATCTACCGTTTTCTCCAAAATATGGGCTCATCCAATGAATCACATGCCTGTGCTAAAAGTTATGACAATGGTTAAGGCATGGTTGTAAACCACTGGGTTGAATGCTTTGGTTAGATTACTCAACCAGCGTCCGGGTTTATCAGTAGCAGCAAGTTCTAAATGTCATTAACAATTAGCAGAGTTGAAAGCTAAAGAAAAATGGTTAATTATAATCAGTTCAATTCTGGTATACGTTTTTAAAAATTTGATCAGCATTTTTAGCCTGAATGTTCTGAAAAAGAAAAACAGAAACACTCCCAAGTAATATACAAGTAAAGGAAGAAACAACTACTGAATAAAAGCATCACTAACAATTCCTCCAATGTAAATACCAATTCCCAATATACATTTCTGTAAGTTTTTCACGCACTAAAAGATAATAAAAATGACAGATTTCTAGATATTGCACCAATTAAAATTAGTTATTTTTTTACTGAATTGCATAAATAGCTCACTGACTAGAAGAAATGCTTGCTAGTGTGTCCTTTGGCATTCTTTCAACATAAAAACCTGGCAACAAAAATCTTACCACTTGGTTGGGAAGACAAAATAGGATTCACCCTAACACCTGATTTCATATTGCTCATCAGATGGCCACCATCTATAGTGATGTGAGACACATTAGATCGAGCGTGCTGCAAGTCACCATTATTTGAATTATTGCACAAGGAAGCATAATGCTGTGAATCACCTGAAAGTAATAAATAAATAGAATCATACAATTATATTAGCAAAATTCAGCTTGAGAATATAGAATTATTATTTTTAAACCAGGAAGATGTTGTTTTAATTTATTTTAAAAAACCAAGCATCACTCTTATTTGTACCTGTTTCCTATGAGGGGGGTAGACCTGTTATTAGTAATGCCATTATTAATGCTACTAGTAGTAATATAGATAATTACGATATTACATATAGACATATTACATATAGATAATTACGATAGTCTGATTATAGTTATAGTAATACTTGATTTACAACTGTTGCTTAACCAAGGTTAAGACAAACTGTCCCAAAGGTACTTACAACCTGGTTACCAAGTTACAACAGCTGCATTTCAGGCGCTCGACAACTGGCCTGCATTTACAGCATTTGCAGCATCCCTATTAAGTGCGGGGGAAATCAGGAGATTCAAGCAGTTCAAATGAGTATAAAGATTTATTGCAAGTTTAAGCTTTCCCCCAAAATCTGAGCTACTCTGGGTCAAGGGAAATGAGCAGGAATTAAGAAGGCATTCAAGCTGGGCTGGACTTAGATCTCTTGTGGATGCGCAGGCCTATGACTGATGATGTGTTTGACCTCTCCCTCGGGCTCAGCCTGGTCATCTCCTACAATCTCACTGTTACATGATTGTGGTTTACATTTTTGCTGAAAACTGGTATTTAATTCCTATTTTCAGCAAAAGTGGCTGTCAGCAAACAATGGATTCACTTAATCCACTGGAGGCTAAAACATACAAGGAACGGTTGCTGGAATTGGGTATGTTTAGTCTAATAAAGAGAAGGATGAGGAGTGACATGATAGCAGTGTTCCAATATCTCAGAGGCTGCCACAAAGAAGAGGGAGTCAAGCTATTCTCCAAAGCATCTGAAGGCAGGACAAGAAGCAATGGATGGAAACTAATCAAGGAGAGAAGCAACCTAGAACTAAGGAGAAATTTCCTGAGAGTTAGAACAATTAACCAGTAGAACAACCTGCCTCCAGAAACTGTGAATGCTCCAACACTGGAAGTTTTTAAGACAGCCACTTGTCTGAAATGGTATAGGGTTTCCTGCCTGAGCAGGGGGTTGGATTAGAAGACCTCCAAGGTCCCTTCCATCATCATCATCATCATCATCATCATCAACATCATCATCATCATCATTACTACTACCATGGCATTCTGCTGCAAAATAGTCATAAAATCAGGTCAGTCACTTTATGACCCTCATGGGCAGGCTCCATATGGGCCATAATTTTGAGGACTATCTGTATTCAGTGTCTGGTATTGCCATGCAATAATAAAAAAAATCAGAAGTTACAGTTACTAAAAAATATAATTATTATCTCTGTTATTTTTTCAACAAAATTGTTAATCTTAACTTGAGATCTTAACTTTCTTTTAAAAAAAAATATAAGTGGGGTTTGTTGCTGGATTCTATTTTTGCCACTATAATATGGTAGGCACTCCCAGGGTTGAACCATCTGTCCCACAAGGTGTTTTGGTTCTGAGATAATCTGCACCAAGTAGTGACCAATGATTGGACAACTAGATTCCTTTGCTGCCACCACCCCTTTGTTATAAACCAATTTGTCCCTTCAACACTAGTCCTCTGGAGCAGCAGTCCCAACCTTTTGGGCACCAGGGACCAGTTCTGGAGGGTGCGTGGTTTTGTGTGCTGCCTGCATCCTGCAAATGGGCTATTTGTGCGGCCCATTTTCTGGCATACCGTGGCCCAGTACTGGTCCACAGACTGGAGATTGGCTTAATATTTAATACAGGTTTGACTTAATACTTGAAGGAGAAAACAATGCTGAGGAGACGGCTAGACAGTAACCAATTATTTCACATACAATGAATAGAATAAGTTTGAAATAGGAAAAGGTTTGCATACTTTGAATTAGAATTAAAGTTGTCTCTTGTGATATATCTGTGACCCTTAATTATTCGTTCTCCTTGAAGAGATTCTTTGCACATTTTACAAAATCAGAAATGTAAAAGATTCTTATAAAAAAATTGCATCTTACCAGCAGCACCATCCCTTTGAACCAATGCACGATGTACTCCTTGCCACAAAATTGTGATTTCTTCATCAGTTGGTATACGATCCGGACATAATCCATTTTCTGAGAACATGGGACTTCTCCTTGAAATATTGCTGTAGTGGACAACTGGTGGAATCGAATTCATAATGCACTTTGACTTTGTCAAAGGCTCATAGGTGTATATACTGTAAGAAGGTCTGATCATTGTTATTTGAGAATGACAAGAGCTACCTGAAGTTGAAGGATCGTCTGTATAAACTCTTCCCAAAGTTTGACATTCAGGCAAAAGATTCTTGTCACTCTGATTATATTCGACATCTGTGGAAGGCTTACACAAATTTGATGATTGACCTAAGGCATTTGTAGGATTTTCATCTGGCTTTTTGCTTTGTATAGGCTTACATGGAGGGTGGGGTGTTATGATTTTGCCTGACGCTCTTACAATCTTAGTAGCTTCACTAGCAGACTGTGGTCGAATAACGGCATTCTTCCGATTTTTAGCTATTATGGTCGATGATGGGACTTTGGCAGATTTTGGTCTTTTGATCATTTTCATTCTTCCTTTCCGTGGATTAGTTTTTGGACTTTTAGGATCACAACTATAAATAAAAGGTATCATTTCTTCACTTCTTGATGCCATCCATGCTTGTTTAGCAATATGATATCCTTTAGGCACCAAGATGTTGTGCACTGTATTATCTCTTTCTGAGTTTCCAACAGTAGCAAGTTTGGCAGATATCTGAGAATTCTCTGAATTGTTTTCTGCAAAAACAGAATTGAGCAAACAGGAGGGAATACTTCTTAGATTAGTTTTAGAAGCAGTGGTTTTAAGCTGAAAGCCAGGTGCTTGGGATTGTGCCTGAGATATATCACTAACACATGACTCTGAATTTTTTTCATTATTATTAATTTCCACTACTCTGTTAATTTCATCAAACCACCTAAGCTTTTTACAATTCCTTTGAGCTTCCCCATCTTTCCCTTTTATTTTTGCCAATTCAACACTGTCTCTAACAGAAGCCACAGGCTGATGTCCAAATTTGATACCCCTGTTTACAACCATTGCTTTGAAACAGCCAAGTTCATATTTAGATTCCTTTTTTAAAATGCTTTTTGGCAGCTTCGTCACTTTTGTCTCACAAATATTGTCATTCTTCTGCTGCTCGGGGTCAGATAAATTGGTTGCTACCTCTCCTTGGGGCACAGGTAAAATAATTTCAGCCTCTTTTCCTTCTTCGTTGTCTTTGTGCTGATCAGTGCTGCCTCTAGAAGGCTCTTCAAATGTAGATGCCTCAACGTTAACATGGTCAGAATACTTTTCACCTTTAACTTCAACTGCATAGTCTGTATCTTCAGTACACCTTGCTGCATGAATATCTTTCCCCTTCTGCATGCAATTAAGTAAGAAGCTGTTGCTGAAATAGGAAGTGACATTCCACTGTTGATTAGACAAATCTACATTGGGAATGAAAGTTTCTGTGGATGAAGTTCTGTTGCTTTCAGAAAGTTCAAAGTTCTCTTGTTCTGCAACTGCAGGAGAAGGATTAGGGACAGGCCATGCTTTATTTAATTTGGCTGCAGGGCTGTCAGCAGGTAAAGGATCCCCTGTGCTAATTATGTTTGAAGATGGACATTTCAACAGAACACTTTTGTCTTCTGTTTTATTTTGTACAGAAGGTAGATTGCCATCAGAAGCACCTGTCTCAGACTCTCTCTGTTCAGATGAAGTTGGCACTAATGATTTCAGGTCAGGGTTGCATCGGACTTCATCAGATGGGACAACATTGTATTTAATTAAAATATCACGGAAAGGAGAGGTTGCCTTAATGTCTGAAGTTTTTAAATTTATAAGCCAATTATTCACATGCTGATCTGTAGAAAAAGAATCATCATGTTCAGCAGAGAAACGTCTATTTTTGCTCTTTGATCCTCCTGGATGCTGGATGGAAGACTCCTCTTGAGTAGATAAAGATGAGATTTTACAGGGTTCTGTGCAACTTCCGTTTTGTTCTTTAGCCTCAAGGCTGTCAACACTACAAACACTCCCTGAACGGGTTATTTCATTTACTTCTTGATGAAAATTCTGCGCAAGAAAAATAAATAAAATACAAAGATAATTTAACATGATTCCATCAAAACTTTCATTCTGAGTTTCAGAGACAACTGGGAAATTTCATGAAAAATATTAAGAAATATTTAGGTCAGTAGTTCAGGGCAATAAAATGAGTTCACTGACTGAATGCCAAATTGACTGGTTTATTTCTTTTAGACACCACACAATTTCATTTTTAGATGCCACAATTTTAGGATGCCACAATTTTCAATCTTTATTTAATAAAAATGGACCTTCACTTGTAACAATTGAAGAATAAGATAACTACCATTTGGGGAAACAATTTTAATATTTATTCTGTTGGATTTTCATTTAACTATATGTTTATATCTCAATATGTGTAATAATCAGAAAAGGAATGAGCATCTATAGTTGTACAGCTAGGTATGGTTCATTACAAAAGAATCAGCAATTAGTGGTAGTTTGATGAAAAAGAAAGAAAGAAAAAGAAAGGAAGGAAGGAAGGATTGTTTTATAATTCAACCAACTGCAGATCTTTTCCCTTCTAACTCCTCAGCTCAGATGCCTTCTGAACAATAAGTACAATAGAATAGTAATTGCCTAGCCAGAATAATTTACTAGACCAAAATATTTACTTCACCAAAAGGATAGATGGTTAAACAACTTTATATAGCAGGAAAATTGATATTTAAAGTAAATCCTTTCTACCACTACCTGAAGTACCTCAAACCAATGATATTATTTATAATTGTTTCAAAAATAGATATAAGAGTGCATTTTTTAAAAGAAAGGGCAGGATTGTTTAAAAACAACATGTACAAATGATCTCTGGGCATCCAAGAGCACAGTATTGAAAGGATAGGATGTCTAGTCCAAAATTCTAGTTCTATCATTACCATAACCCCAATAATTTGCCCTACCAAAAATATAGAATATAAATAATAAGACAGAAAAGCTAAAATGGATGTAATACACTTTTTGTACTAGGAAATGTACAAGTGTCAAACAATAACATTTTTGGCTGAGGGATTCTGGGACTTGATGTCCACAAATCCTTAAGCTGCCAAGGCTGAGAAACAATGATTTAGTGTCTGAGTAAATAAATATCTGTTCAAAGTAAGGCTGTCTTTTAATTTTAAATCTACTTCTAGTACTTCACTAAACTTTGAAAAATTGTACTTCACTACACTTCGAAAAAAATATTGGGTACTTTCCAAACACTCAAAAACAGCAATTCAGTTGGGTACTGTGTTCCAAGCTAATCTTTTCTTTTTTGGTGATTATATTAGTCAGATAGATAATATTACAGTAGATATTTAAAAAGTACAATCAAATTTTATTAATTGATGTGAGAAAGGATTAATTTTTCTTAGGAATTCTAGTTTGAAGTCAGGGTATTTCTATTGAACCCATCAAAAGCAATTAGAATATTAAGCATGCCTGCTTAGATATTTTGAGAATTCTTATTTTAAGAATCAAAAGTTCAAAGCAATCATACCTGAGAGTTACCGGAATGCTGTTGTAATTGATGCTGCTTTTCATCTAGATTTTTTTGGAGGAGAAGCTGGCCATTGCATGGGTTTATCCTGTTTTTTACCTGCAGCGTTCTATCATAAATAGCTTTTGCTGAGTTCTGTTTCCATTGAAAAGGACCATTTCTCGTAACTGAGGAATTTATCCCAATAGAGCTTGGAAGGATGAAACATTACTGTTATTTCTGGATAATGTATATTAGATTACGAACAAAATGTCATATAAGCTGTTTTAAAATAAATTAAAAGTGCAACTTGTAGAAAACAGAATCCATCTAATAGCCAATAGTTAATACATAATATTTCTAAGAACTGTATTTTATTTAAAAAATCATCCAAACCTATGAACCAAACTAAAACCATGCAGCTCTGCTATGTTATGAAATGCTTTCATATATTTATAAATGATTTCTTTCTTTATTTCTTCTGATTTCTGTTAATGGATTGAATTGAAATGTTCTGATATTCAACTAAAATGCTATTTACTCATGTAATGTAGCATTTTAAATGTTGAAAAAATGTTTATAACACTGCATTATTTTCTGATGCTGTGTTTTTAACATATCAGTTTGACCTTTTCAGAAAGAAAAGCACATTAAAATAATATAATGGAAAAAAACCTGTTTGCATTTTCTATTATCTTCTTTTTAGTAGTTAGCATCTTTTCCACTGTAATAATGCATAATTTGTATCTCAATTTGAGGATGGTACTTTACCAGCCTAACAAAACTACTTAAGCCCCTGTCCAAACACATCTAGATAATTTATTTTTAAAAAATTGCTTTTTTAATGTGAAAGATGAAGTTTTGAATATATAATTCAGGGGTTCCCAACCGAGGGTGCTCGCATCCCCTGGGGATGCGAGACGATATTCCAGGTGGTACAAAAACTTGGATTTTCAAAATTATAGTGTATATACACAATTCATTGCTGTTATTTTGAACTTTTGTATGGGGTGCGAGAATATATCAGAAGCATTCTAGGAGTGCGGGGTATAGAAAAGGTTGGGAACCGCTGATATAATTCATAACACAATATAAGTACAGCACTGTGTTTCTAAATCCACATGGTAGTAGTATGTTCCTCCCTACATGTCCCTTTCTTTATAGATTTTTTTTTGTTCTATTTTCCTTATGTTCTGGTATCTAGAAACTTAAAAATTCTTTCATATAAGTTTGTAATTAAGAATAGTATGGAGCGTTTCATATAGATAAACCTTACTTACTAACTGCTTCATTCAATGACTGTTCAAAGTTACGATGGGGCTAAAAATAAACCCCTTATAACCAATGCCCACATTTATGGCTTTCACAGCATCCCTCAGTCACATGATCACCATTATAGTCCTATTGTCTTATGCCTCATCTGTTGCTCCCCCCTTGCATAGTGGAGAGATCGTAGAGGAAGGGATTAGAAAAGAGTAAGCAGACATAATGAGAAATACACACTGAAAGAAATGTGGTGGCACTGGCAGTTCTGAATTTAGCATACAAACAGTCTGGTATATTCCCCATGATATGCCTGCATTCTCGTTTGTAATCCTTTCCTCTCCAATGTTTCCACTCTGGGAGGGGGGAAATGGGGCAGGCATGGGAGAGATTGCCTACAGAAATCGCTGGGTTTTCTTTTCTTCTCCCCCCCCCCGCAAAGCAAATATTTATTTTGACAGGAATAGAGTAGTCAAGTGATAATGCAATGGGGAAAAATGGCATTAACAGTTCAGACTGAACTTCCCAGAAACACAAGAAATAGAAACTTGTAAAGGTCAATATGGAGGATACATAATGACACAAATATGGGGCCAGGTGATATTTATTTCCAGTGCCACAATTATCACTGGTAAAATGTTGATGGTAAATGACCAATCAGCCTGATGAAATTTGCCAAGATCAATACTGAACAGAAGATCACGCTTTCACTATACATATTGCCATTTTACTCCATTTTCAGCAGTACCTACAAAAAACAGAGAGTGTGAATGTTGAAATAAACTACTCCTTATCATCACTAGGTTTTAACAACTTCTTTCAAAAAAATCAAGCACACTGACCTACATTTCATAGCTCTACAATGACTGCCATTTTTATAGAAATTGATCCCCCCCCCAAAATATTAGCTAATATTTATTCAATTAATATCAGTAAATAATTCTCATGCATAGATTCATTCCTACAAAATGGACGATTGTGCCTGCAAGTACCATCCTAGCTATCTACCTATCTAGAGTTATATACATTTTTAACAGATAATGTAAATAATTTTGACATCAAAATCCTTGTACTTTTGCATCTGAAATCTGGATGGATCTATCCCCCTAGCAAAATCTGGTATAGCAACAAATTGTATCCTATTATTTTTAAAATTAAAATGTTACAGCCATTTGACAAGTTTATATGCTGTATAATGGGAGGGATAGAATTTCAAGTTTCTGAGCCTTTTTCTGAATTCAGCCCAGATTAAGTCGCCTGTGATTTGACATTAACTAGACTGTTCATTTCAAATCTAAATCTTAATGAAACTGAATCTTGTGGTTTGTATGGACATTATAAGACAAAGCTAAAAGCTAAAAATAAATATAAACTCAATGTTGTATCTGAATGAAGAATTTAGCATGTATAAAACTAATAAGGATCAAAGCATAAAACAGGATAAATAAGAACTTTAAATCATTCAGAATACAGAGGTTTATTCAGAGCTGAAGATAATACCTTCTTATGAAACGAAGATAATTTGATAAATGGTATCAAATTCCCCAGAAGAATCTGTGAGTACAGCCAGCATAATATCTAAAACCTCAAAGAAAGGAATTTTGGCAATATTTGTGGTATTTCAGAATTCTACATAACAAATACCTAAAGCAAATAAGCTAAGAGATTCAAAATCTAATTGTAAGCACAATAATAACCACAGTGAAATATTGTATTAGCAATCCTCTTTACCACAGTATTTTGCACAGTACTGTAGTTTCAGAAGATAAGCTAATTTATGTCAGATATTTTTGTGCAACTATTATTTCATCATCATTGTTAATTGTTATGTCATTGATCCTATTCCTGAATTAAATAAAATAATTTACCTTTCAATGACTCTAGATGATAATCCTGGAACCTGACATTTCTGGGCTTCATCCAATTTATTTTCTGGCTTTCTCTGTACTACAGTGAAAAACAGGCAAAACATTTGGTTAAATATCAAAATCTTAATACAATATGGATAGTACCATTCTGAAATCAGACTTCAGATGAAAAACTCAAAAAAATCCCAATGCCTCCATAAAATGACAAGGTCGAGTTCAGCTGCTATAGCACCTACAAAGCTTAGAGTGGAAGATGGTCTCTGCCCTCCCCTTCCAGATACTAGGGACTATGAAGATAAGATGGGTACTGTTGTTCTGGACTGACTAGTTAGATGAAAACTATATGTTAGAATGTTTGGCATTTAAAGGGTTAAGCGCTGTGTCCTTAAGAGATGGCTTATGGGTAATGTAGTTTAGCTATTCAGTGAATCCCATGTTAACAAGTCAGTAAGAGGGGCTAAGTTCATCACAGGATATCCTGGCTATGTGCCAGCTTGTAAAAGAGGTCTTTGTGAAGAACGACACGAGGTGATGTGTCCCATAAGAGCCATGGGGTGAGTTCACCTTCAATCTTTCACCCAAAAGAATGGAGAAGGTCATAATATGTTCAGCAGAAGAACTCTTCTTAACTGTAAGTTATTGTTTGGGATTCCTGTTGAATAAATGGTCTAACATTCCGTTCTTTGGCATTTATCTGATTGAGAAGAACAAGGTTAAAGCAAAAATCTTGTTTGGACCAACACAACTGTCATTTATCTCAGAGATAAATTTCAGCCACAGAACTCTGTCTGTCTCTTACAGCATCACCAGAGCTCCTACTACTACCAAGAAGCTGGGATTCAATCACATCTACCTCCCTGAATGTGAAAGGTCAGTGAAAGTGGGCTGATCAGCTCACTCCCAAGACATCAAAGAGGCAGCTAAGAGGCTGGTCATCGCTGTTTCAGCCAGATGAGAAATCTGAGGCTCCATCATGAGTGATACCCTGGCTAACGGCTGAGTGAGCGCATGTGCTAGTAGCTTATCAGCTGTTCTTATTCTGTTGTAGCTTCACTGCTATTGTTTTTTTACTTTCACCACTCTCACTGAAGCTGTCATTTCACCTCTTCATTGCCAGGCTAAGGTCAAGCACTTCTTCAGTTGCCTCCTGAAAAAGCACCTTTGGGACAACTATGACTTGGATGATTAAGAATCTCCATAGACATTTAGCTATGCACTTTGGGACGAACACCCTTTGAATGGTGAGGGAGTATGAACGGATTTCCAGAAAACATTGCAGACTACAGGAACCATTTGCACTTCAGTTTCAGATGCAGGCAACACAGACCCAACTCCAACAATCTGTGCCTGTTTTCAACAGTGAAGGGACACAGGGAAGAAAACATCCTGCAGCCAAGAAGGCTCCATACACATTGACAACCCTCATCTTATATCTGTACATTAGATTTCTGGATCTTAAAGAAATCATTTTGCCTGTATCTGTCAAAATTCATTCTGTTGTCTTGACCTGATTTTCTGTCAAAATGGTTTGACTTTTCTTTCTTAGGATATTAGGTCTCTCACTCTTCTTGTATCATCTGGAAATCTGATAATTGCTATACCTATCTTTACATCCAAGGCATTTTTTTTGGTATTCCAAAGTTCTGAATTCTATTACTAGATTTTACAAAAAAATACATATAAGCAAAGCAGGATACACAAGGCTGAAGAGAAATTATCATAAGAAAAGAGTTCATGGCCAGAACTTCAACAATTAATACGAAGCCAACATACTAAATTGCATTGCAGTGGCTAGTAGAATTTCCTCCTGCAAAATGATATATATATTTTACTGCGTAATTTATATTTTTGCTAAAATATTTTAGTTAACTAGATTGACAGCAGACACAATTCAGGTTAACAAATGATTTGATTCTAAAAACCTGAAAAGCTTTCATTACCCTCTGATATTATGTAATTTCACTGCTGTTTTCAATAAATATTCTATTTTTGAAAAATGAAAGTATTTTTTCTTTGTGTACATTTCAAACATATTCTATGGCATGCTCCAAGACCAGGAATTCATTTGATTGATTAATATTTATCGGGAAGAGCAAGTTTTATGTAGCAGTTAAAGCACCAGGCTAGAAACCAGGAGACTATGAATTCTAGTTCTGCCTTGGTCCTGAAGGTGGGTTTGTGACCTTCAGTCAATCATTCTTTCAGCCTTTGGAAAGAGGCAATGGGAAACAACTTCAAAATCTTACCAAGAGAACGGCAGGCACTAACCCAGGAGTCACCAGAAGTTAGCACTGACTTGAAGGCACAAAATAATAACAACAACTATATCTCTATTAACTGACATCAAGAGATATTATAAATAATATTTTAATTGTACAATTAATTTACCAACCTCCTTTCTTATGTTGTGAAGATGAAATATGACTGCGCTGGAATTTTTCAGTTGCTTCCTGATGTTTCAGTTTCCTCTGCAGCAATATTTGTTCTCTAAATTTTTGTTCTTTTTCTTCATTCTCTTTCCATTTTTCTTCAAGTGCTCTATTTAAAAACTATAGCTTTTAATAATAATAACTACATTTTAAGTGTGTCATTTAGAGTCCATTTCATTAAAAAACATATTTCTCTAACCTTACCTTTTGGGAGAAAATATAAGACAGTAATATAAGATCTAAAGATGATTAACATTATTTACAAAACAAACTCTGAACCTTGAAAATTCTGATTATCTGAGGGCATGATATGTCCCACCCACAGTAATTCGTTTAGCAGTATCTATAGTGGTTTAAAGTCTATGCTGAAAATGAATATTCTAGAAGTAACAGATGTATGCCTTCTGATTTTTTTTAATCAGACCAATTTATTCTGAATAGACCAGGGCTATTCCCCTAGAAAATAGTTCTGAAAAAGTTCCTATGGGGCATATTGCACCTTGCAACCATAAAAATATATTAATAATTAATTTTTGTGTTTTTAATCATTGTACATCACCCAATGCTTGTGAAATGGCCTGCTATATAAATCATATAGATTAAATAACAAAATACATTATTGTCATGATTTTAAGATTTCAAAAGATCACTATCCAGTAACTCATTATTAATTTTTAAAAAATATTGATTTAAACACAGCCACTCAAATAAGAGCTAATCAAGATCCAACACATTTGTTTTCTTATAAAGGAACTGAACTGCAAGAAGCTGCTACTTGCTCTGTCATATACCATACTGGAAAGTCAACATACACAGAGAACAGTTAATCTGCATTACTGTAAAAAAAAGAAAAAGAAAAAGCAACCCTGATATTTACATACCTCCTCCTTTTATTTGTTTCTATAGAATGTTTTCTTGCTCGATTACGAAACAATCTTTGGTCTTTTAGCAATTCATGACGCTCTTTTGATAAATCTCTTTCAAGAAGAACCTTTAGATTTCTGATTATGAGATTAAGAAACTTTAGCAAAAATTCTAAACACAGAGTATAAGCTTCTAGTTTTAATAACAATTACAAACTAAGCGTTTTATAGTATACTGGCATTATGACTGTCTTTATAGGAGTCCAATTTATTTTAGAAAAATAACTGTTTCAATCCAGATATAATATTAGCACTGTGTTGTTGTAGCTTTAAACAAATAAGTACAAGACTAGTCTGACCTATCATTCTGTCATACTGAGGCCAATCAACTACAATCAGTGATGAAGATGGTAACTCTCTTCAAATGCTTCTTCTTTGTAATTGCCCTTAATGTTAGGGCATACTGGGGAAGCCCTGTTCTCCATTGCTATTGATTCTTCAAATTTAACTTCAAATGATGAACCTGATTTTAATTCAGCTTTCATATCTTAAGTATTTGCTTTCGGATATTTCCATGCATGGAATTTGTTTTTCTACAGTGTTTATGCTAGATATTTTATTTGCATTCTCTGTACAGTTCATAAATCTCTGTCAAAGCCTATTAATGGGAAACAAATTTCTGATTGCTTCAGTGTGATTCTCTACACTGATGCAACCAGGCTAAAGAGATTCTTTTGTAAATCTTCACAATCTTTTTTTTTTTAATTTAACTACTGAATAATTAAGTATCAGCAAACCTGGTCCACCCACTGCCAATTTTGCGCTGTGTCACTTACAGATGAGTTAAGAAGAATCACGGTTTAAAATAGATTAAAACTACCTATTCCCTACTCTGATTCCTGTTCTTTCTCCAGTAGTTAAACTAAAGAATGAAATATTAATCCAAGCTCAGTTTAGTATAAACACTTACACTACATACACTTATTTGGAATGACAAGCCCAAAGCCACCCAGCTGGCTTTGTGCCTAAGGCAGAAATAGAACTCATGTCTCCCAGTTTCTAGTACAGTGGTTCTCAACCTTTTTAATGCCACGACCCCCAACCGGTCGTAAGTTGAGGACTACTCAACCGGTCATAAGTCGAGGACTACTCAACTGGTGCAGCACCGTTTGCAGAAAGGGACTTTTGGCGGCCTCAGCAGGGCGGAGACAGCCTGGACAATTCCAATTGGCTTTTGAAAGCCAATAGAATAAAAGGGAGTAGCACAGCTAAGGAAAAGGGGAAAAAAATGGCGGACTGTGTTGTTTGGCGACCCCCGTGAAATGGTCGTTTGACCCCAAATGGGGTCCGGACCCACAGGTTGAGAACCACTGTTCTAGTATGATGCCTTAACCACTATACCAAACTGGCTCTCAGTTTTAAGGATTACCCTTCTTCTATCATAATGCATTACATAAAATCAGTATTTGCAACAGAGTGCCCACTTGACAGGGAGCTCAAGCCCATTCTATCTCTCTGAAGCAATCTGCACATTTTGCATTAATTAAAAATGAATACTAAAGTTTTTAAATATTTACATAAAACCTTAATCAACAGTACACATAGATTTATATATGCATACAAATCCAGAAAGTAACCATTTTATTCATAAAGTAGAAAACTTCCTTTGATACGTCAACACCTATCCCACTTGTCAAATCTATATAGAAACTGTTTAAACTGCATATAGAAATGGTTATCTGTACATCATGCTAACCCTAAACTATAGCTGTGAGAAAGAAAGAAAAACTATTCACATTTTCAATACCATGCATTATTCTATATTTCTATATTTCCTTGCATATCTTAGCCACAAGTTAACAGGTCCAGGTGCTTTAATCTTTCCTTATATGGAAGCAGTTCTAGTCCTCTAGTGATTTTGTTTGCCCTTTCCAGCTGAACACTATCTCCTTTCAGAAATGATGACCAGAGCTACATACAGTACTCCAAGTATAGTCTCACTACAGATTTATGTTAGACCACCCTGGCAGTTTGAGTTTCAATTCCCTTCCTAATGAATCAAAGCATGACATTTAACTTTTTACAAAAGATATACACGAGTTTGACATTTTCATTGACCTATCTCATAATTCTGAGATCCATTTCCTGTTTGGCCACTGCCAGTAGAAAATTTAATAATGAATCTGTGAAGTTTTGAACATTGGAAGCTATCCTGCATCATACTGCATTACCCACAGTGAATCACATCTTCTATTTTCAGTCCCCTGCTTCCAATTTACAGAGATCCTCTTAAATCTCTTTGCAATTCCTTTATTTTATTACCCTGAAAGGCATGGAATAATAACTAGAAATCTCCCTACTCAAAACTTTGTATCCTTTTTAGACAATTTAAGTTGGTCACAAATTGTTTTACGATCTTTTCACATTCTGCCAATTTGACCTCCTGTATTCTAATTCCTTAGTCTGTTTCTGACCCATGAAAGCATACTCTTTTCCCATCCAATCATCTGTGAGATACCAACTTCAAATAAATACATGTAACATCTCTATGCCCCTTAACTCTTGGATGCTCTTCTGAATAGAACAGCACCCTTGGAAACAGCCGTTTGGCTTAAAGTGCATCTCTACAAATCTAAACAATATTTGGCTTCTTGATGCTCTCTGGACTGGCCTGGTTGTTTTCTTGCAGATAAGATAAACACAAGCACATTTAAGAAACAACAACAGTTTAATCCTGAACTCCAAGTATTCCCTTCTACTGGAATCCAAATAATGATTCCATGGCTGGCGGGGAATTCTGGGAGTTGGAGTCTGCCGGTCTTAAAAGTGCCACTGCGATTAAGCAAAGCATGGCTTTTAAACCAGGCATCCCTCAGCTTGCAATATGGCCCGCCTTCCTGCTTCCCACGAACCCCGGCTCCCTTCCAGCTACCTGGGAGGATACGTGCAAGGGACGAAAGCGTTCAAGGACCGGCGGCCAAGTCCCCGCGGCGGGGCACTTTCCGATAAGCCCTTCCTCCAGCATGGAGCAGTCGTGGAAAGATCGCCTCCAGCAGCAGCAGCGACTTCCGCGGACGCCCTACCCAAAGCCGGGCTGCTGCGCTCTGCCGCCACCGCTGTCGCCGGCCTCCAGGAGCTGGGATAGTAGCCACCGCCGCCGCCGCTGCTGCCGCCGCCGCCGCCACCGCCGCCAAGCTCCATCCACCCTTAGCCTTCCGCCGCCATCCTTTTCTCCGCCCAACACAGACCCAGTCACTCGCCCCGGCGCGCGGTGGGTCTGACAGGGTTCGGGCGCTCGCGTTCCGGGCTCCTCGGACCACCCGCAGCGAGCCCCCGCGAGCCCCACTTGCCGCCTTGGAAGCACCCAGAGAAGCCCCTCAGGGGAATCCAGAGACGGCCGCCATCTTAGCAACCGGCAACGCCGCTTTCGTCGCCACGGCAACCAAGCTCCGGCGCTGAAGGGGAGGAGCTTCGGAGAGGGAGGGAGAAGCAAAAGGGACATCGCCCAAGCCGAGCTTTCTCGCTTGATGGAGATTCCAACTCCCAGAAGTCCCTGCCTCATCCGAAGGGGCGGTGAATTGAAGCAGGCGCGGTTTTTCTTTCTTGGCCCCTCCCTCGTATTCCCCATCTCCCCGCCCCTCCCCCTCAGGGCTTTCTGTCATTATTCAGCAATGCTCTGGTTACTTTGGGAGGGCGATTTCAAAGATGATCAGGGAACTGGAGGCTAAAACATATAAAGAACGGTTGCTGGAATTGGGTATGTCTAGTTTAATGAAGAGAAGGACGAGGAGGGACATGACAGCAGTATTCCAATATCTCAGGGGTTGCCACAAAGAAGAGGGAGTCAAGCTATTCTCCAAAGCATCTGAAGGCAGGACAATAAGCAATGGATGGAAACTAATCAAGGAGAGAAGCAATCTAGAACTAAGGAGAAATTTCCTGACAGAACAATTAACCAGTAGAACAACCTGCCTCCAGAAACTGTGAATGCTCCAATATTGGAAGTTTTTAAGACAGCCACTTGTCTTGTTCCTTAATTGCTGCACCAAATTCGCTGGTCATTATCCTTTACCTAATCTGCAGTTTGAATTTTTTCTGGTGATCAAAATAACAGTTATCATTTTGTATGATTACCCAACACACCTTCCCCTGTGATGCAAATTTTAATAGATTTTTGTGTTATGGTAAAGATTGGTGCAAGATCAGTATTAATTTGTGCCCTTGAGTCAGCCTTGATTACTTGTGATTACAAAGACAAATCCATACAGTTTTCTTGGCAGCTTTTGGGGATGTTGTTTATCATTTCTTCTCTCTAGGAGTGGAGATGAAGACTTGTTCAAAGTTATCCAGCTGGATTCATGGCTAAGGCAGGACTAGAATTCAGATTCCTTTGCTCAAAGTCCACACCTTAACCACTAGACCAAAGTATTCCTCAGCAAAGCAAAGCAAAGATACTACCAATAGTAATTCCATCAGTTGCTTCTTGTCCTGCCTTCAGGTGCTTTGGAAAATAGCTTGACTCCCTCTTCTTTGTGGCAGCCCCTGAGATATTGGAACATGGCTATTACCTCTATCTCCCCTGGTCCTTCTCTTCATTAAACTAGATGTACCCAATTCCAGCAACGGTTCTTTATATGTTTTAGCCTCCAGCCCCTAATCATTTTTGTTGCTCTTCTCTGTACTCTTTCTAGAGTCTTGACAGCTTTTTTACATTGTGGTGACCTAAAATCAAGTTTATATAAGGTTATGAAGTCTGGACGTGAAAGGGTTGGCTTTTGGGCTAAACACATTCCTGAATTCTTAATTCAAGACTCCATTGGCCAGTAGATAGCCTTTTTTTCAAGGCAATTTGAAACCGTTTGAAAAATGTTTGTTCTTCCAACTCAGACATGATCTACCCTAATAGATCCACCTCACTGATCTTCCTAAATATATTTTTCATTTGGACTGATTCGATAGTTCATAGTGTCGCACCATGTTCTGCAATGGTAAGGTTTGTGTTGTATTCCTTGATAAATGATAGAACCATAGACTGCTTTTAAATGGCATTGTTTATTTCACCCCAAACCACTTCAATTGGTTTGAAAGATTTATGTTAAAGCTGTATTGGAGCAATTAGCAACAGCAACTCTGCTTGCTTTTTCCTGTTGTTGATGTCGATTCTGTTCAGCCTTGCTGAAACTAAGCATTTTGACATTAACTTCTGCAAAGGCAGGGAAAATTACCAGATCATTAATAAAAGTAAAACAGAGAGACATGTCTTGATAAATTATATGGGAGTGTTGCAATCTTTTAGTCTGGTTCCTAGATGGATCTGGGAATAAGTGCTTGTTCTATTGCATATTTTTATATTAACAAACGGGAAGTTGGGTTTTTTTTTGTAATTCTTTTTGTTTATTATAATTTTATCTGGAGACTCAAACTGGATTTGAAAAAGTTCTGGATTTTTTTAAAGACAAATTTATTCTTTGCTTTTAAGTGTGGACTTTATTTTTCACTGTTTTAAGTGACTCAAAGTTCTGGAAATTCTTTTTTTTAATTCTTTTTTTTTTCCTGTCAAAGGATTAGGTTTAGGTGAAAGAGATTTAATTAGTTTATTCTCAGTTTATCTATCCCTTAGAGCAGTGGTTCTCAATCTTTTTAATGCCGTGACCCCCAACCAGTCGTAAGTCGAGGACTATTCAATCGGTCGTAAGTTGAGGACTACTCAACTGGTGCAGCACTGTTTGCAGAATGGAACTTTTGGCGGGCTCAGCAGGGCAGAGACAGCCTGGACAATTCCTATTGGCTTTTGAAAGCCAATAGAATTATATTCTATTCAAGAGAGTCTATTCTATTGGCTTTCAAAAGCCAATAGAATAAAAGGGAGTAGCACAGCTAAGGAAAAGGGGAAAAAAATGGCGGACTGCGTTGTTTGGCGACCCCCGTGAAATGGTCGTTCGACCCCAAATGGGGTCCCAACCGACAGGTTGAGAACCACTGCCTTAGAGTGTCTAATTTCAGCCTTTGCCCATTACATTTTGTTATTCTTTTAGGGAATGTGCTTCATATGATGTTCTGGCATGATATTATTGGCCTCAGAAACTGAAGATACAGTGATGAATTTCTATACAAACAACAAACAAAATATTACATGAACACCCCACAGATATTTAGTGAAAGTCTATTCCATTGCATTCAGTGGAGTTTTAATCTGTACTAAATGCATTCAAGAATTTTCCAAATGCAAATTAAGTTAAAGGGAATTCTACAATGAGTATCACTTACTACGAACTGTTTTAAGGGAATATATGTTTATATGATAAAATGGCCCAATAGAAATATTTAAATAACCAAAGCATTTTTAAGCCCTAGTTTCAAAAAATAGTTCAATTTATTATCCTTTACTCTAAAAAGAAATGTTTAAAGGGTTATCACAAACATTTGACTTCAAATCTGATGTAGAAACTCTTCCAAAAAGGTATCTTTATATCCCAGAATAGCTTTCTCTAAGCTTTTTTACTTTAATTTTTTTAAAAAATCCAGCCCTTTATTATTTTTATAAATAACTCAAAGTGGCAAACATACCTAATACTCCTTCTTCCTCCTCTTTTTCCCACAACAGCAATCTTGTGAGATTAGTTGGGCTGACAAAGAGTGACTGGCCCCAAGTCCCCCAGACAGATTTCATGCCTAAGGCAGGACTAGAACTCACAGTCTCCTGGTTTCTAACCCGGTGCCTTAACCACTAGATCAAACTAACGCTTTCCAGATATCTTAAACATTTAGTTTTTGAAATGTCCCAGCTTCTATGTTGCCTGGGAATTCTGGGAATGGCAGCCCAAAAACATCAGGAAGGTGCCAAGCAGTGGGGGGATTCAAATACCTAAACAACTGGTTCTCTTATTGGATGCAGGCCTGGGCCTCCAAAGCCTAGAACACACTTCCAAAGTGGCATCCATGCACTTCCAGCGGGCTATTCTAGGCCTGGGAGGCCTCCTCCAGGCCTCTGAGGCCTAGAATGGACTTCCAGAAGCAGTGTACATTAGCTGGTTCTCCAAACTCAGCAAAATTTAGCTACCAGTTCTGCTGAACCGGTGCAAACCAACTGAATCCCATCACTGGTGCCAGGTTTATCCATAGCATGTGTTAGTATTCTGCACACACCTACCAGTTTGATTCATGAATAGCAATAGCACTTAGATAACTTACATACCTTTTCATAGTTCTATATGAATTGGCACATTGGCTTGCAAAATACATTGCAGATTAGAGATCTTGGCTTGCAGAGAACAGTGAGTATATTTGAGATTAAAATGGGGTTTGGTTTTGCTCATAGTTCACTACGACAGGATGATTGGCACTGTTCTTATTATGTATAAGAATGCTTCATATGGCAAGGATGTGGCTTAGGCTGGAAACGATATTGTACCTGTCTTTTCTTTCTTCACATAAAAAATATGTGGAGGCTTTAATTAACTAAAGGTAGGATGGATGGCACAGGTCAATGTTTATGTAGTATCCAGTAATGCAATAGCATCTGGATGATTGTGATTTAAGAGGTGTCATTGGTAATTTCTCTTTCCCAGAGAAAAGGGAAAGATGTAATTGATCTGAATGAAGGCGGTCTGGTCTTGGGAAACTTACAAATCTTGTATAAAAAATTATATGGATGATATGAACGAAAGTAAAAACAATGGTTATTTGAAACAAGGAAAATAGTCATTCTCTCAGTTCTGAAAATGCAAAGTCTTCTAATTTCTGTTGTGTTTATTTGTTTGTATGATGTTAGACACTTTGGTCCCATATAGAGCAGAAATTAAAGAATATTTTTAAGAAATAAAGTTTTGTTTGATTTAATGTTACAGGGCAATTCTACAGCAACTGTAGCGGTGGAGCCCGCCGGTCGAGTAACAAAAAATCTGTCCACGAACAATTTAGAGGCGAAAAAGAGTCATGCATCCTGTGATTCTCAAGCTAAACTATTAAGAGAAGAAAAACACTACATGTGTCGTATGTATATTTTTACTTTAACAACTCTTTCCTATGATTTGTTACTTGAGCCCGAACAACCTATATATAATATATATGTGGGATTTCAGGAGTCTGCAACCCATCAATTCAAATCTCTGACAACATGTTTATAGCCTATATGTTTTAGGTTATAGGCTACTGCTATAAGCCTATATGTTATAGGCCAGCTTTGCTGGCTGAGGAATTCTGGGAGTTGAAGTCCACAAGTCTTAAAGTTGTCAAGGTGGAGGAACCCTATTATAGGCCATTGCTAATTGATCAATTGATGGATTATCTATTTCTTCTTATGCATGCAATATCCATCACTGTCATGGCCTCTTGTATAGATTATTTCCCACAATATGGAATTCTTCACATTAAGAAATAAAATACTGCTTTGTCTCATACAATATGTTCCTATCTGTGTGCTAGACTTCTCCTCAAGGGCCTATCCATATTGGTATTTGGCAGTACACTACTTGTGACTTGATCTTTTCAGAGAAAGACACTTGATAGTTACTTTTTTTTACCATGGTGATGAAATAAATGT